TGACAAGCCGCGCGCTAATTAAACCTCCACCAACGTATAGGAATTCCATTCGTCGATACCAAAGGGGGGAGGGGGCAAGGTTTCTGTTCGCAGAACGATGAAATACGAGACAAGCCCCCGTGGTACCCGTGATGCGTTGCGTATCGACTTCCACTGCGATCGAATTTCTACGGAGATTAATTATATGCAACCGTTCCACCATTGAAAAATGAAGACATATGTTCTGCGCATGGTATTCCCTTCCTGTAATTGCATTACCCTAGGCTGGCGATGTAATTATACAGAGCAGATATATATCAGGATTCTGCGCTCATTTCGCCTGCTGATGGATATTATCGGGATGTCCATGGGATTGTAAACAGGTTGATAAGGCACAATTTGGAGTTGTGTAGGAGCGTTGGAAAAATGAGAAGGCCCAAGCGGGATTCGAACCCACGAACCCTGGCGTCGAAAGCCGAGACTCTACACGGTTCTCCACGGAGCCCCCTATTTTTCACTGATGTTATTTGCTCCTTCTTGTTGGGTATGGAGAACTTCATCCCACAGTTGCCTTTGGACCATTGCTTAGGTTAGATCACTAGTGTAACTTGTCAGGTGTAAGGATATTTGCAACGTGTGATTGACAATATACAGGGTGAACCTTAGCAACCTTATTAACAGTCCGATCGAAAATGTTTTTATCAGGTGTAGCATGGTTTCAAGAGAGCTTCAACGTGATTATAGCAAATTTCTTGTCAACTCTGTTTTTTCATTATTTTTCAAGGTCACCTTCAATTTCCTTTCAAAAGTTTAACTAAAAAAAAAGTAATACCTGTTATATTATGATACTTACCGAACTCGTCTAGTACAGTAAATCCTCGACGAGTGTTCGAATGCACCTCGGCACTGAACGTTAAATTTTATTTCATAAACTAATGGTCATATGCGGTTAAAACCAACATCACTAGCTTCAGAATTCCCTGTTTTATCACTACATTAAACCTCATTAAAAAGTCAATCTCTTGTCAACTTCGAACTCTTGTCGAAGATCTCTTGCGATCTCTTATCAGTGCCAAGGAGCCTTCGAATACTCAACAATTAATCCTTCTCATCGCTCTTGTAGCATTGTCACTTTCTCTGTACCCTTTTACTCCAAAACTATATTTTCTTTCCAGTATAACCTGAAACACGTTGTAGACAGTCTTACGGTGCAACCAGATAGATACTTCGCGAAAAAATACGTAATAAAAACTGTTTTGCAGTCACCGTACGTCTGTCTAACAAGCGAAACGACCGACAACAAAGTTAAGCCGGCAAAATAAATTACATAATTGCCACGAGTGTTTAAACTCACGGATTTTCAGATCGCCCTTTTTTTTTTTTATAATTACGCGCGTGCACGCAGTTCATACAGAGACCGCGGCTACGTGGCTCGAATCCGAAACGAAGGATAAACTTTGCCCGTAGAAACGACGTACGTCCGATTGTGAAACGTATGACGGTGTTAATTGAAATTTGAATTCGCGGGGCGCATTTTGCGCCCGTTCAAGGGACACACGCGAGATGAAATATGCATGCTTTTTATGCACGGTGTAATTTGACAGGCCGAAGTAGCAATCAATTATTGAAATTAATCACCCGCCCGCGGATGAATCCTGTAATCTATTCCGCGGCTGGTGCACCCCGTGCTGCTCGGGGCCCTTTACCGAAAAATCGCGTGGAATTTCCTGGTTACTCTTGTTACACCGGCTATCCATCATTTCATATTGGTCTAAGAGTGTAATAAATTATCTTCGTGACGTCATTTTCATTCAGCATATAATGAATATAATAATTTCTCAAGTTCACTACGTTTCATGCATTTATTTTTTGTATATTTTCCATCGTGAGATGTAAAATACAAAGACAATTATTAATTAAATCGCAATTATAAATTGAAAGATAATTTTTATGGTGTCGCTGATTCCTTTTAGTTCTCATTCCATGGCTTTCGTTGATGAATAACAGTAGTTTGTCACAAGAACAATTATATTTAATTTGTTAACAGTTAGCTACGATGAAATTCATAAATGTTTCATATTTTTGTGTTACGCTTTGACTAATGTTACTAGATGTTTCTGGCGCATATGCTCTTTTAACGCTCCAAGTTTTGAAATACTCGTAGGAATTATCAAGTGATAATAAAGTTTCAAATTAAATCAACTAATAGTAGTAACGTTGCAAACACTTTACCCTTTTTATGGCAATCGAAACATGTGAAACTTACGTGTACTCTAATAGGACAAGGTGATGCAGATATTTATATCACTAATAACTCCAATTGTTCCCGATATACAGTAAAAATCCTTATCTAAAATATGGATTAGCAACTGAAGCCCAAACTCTAAATAAAAATAGGCAAATTATACACATAACATGAAAGGGAAAAGTGAAATGATCAGCGGTAACCCAAATTCTCTAAACAATAAATCTTACATGTAGCAAGAAAGGAAACACAGAAACCTCCAAATGACATCTAAATTCTCTAAACAGTAAACCTTTCACACACTAAAAAAGAAGAACTAGAGTTGACTAAATGAAACCAAAATTCTCTAAAAAACTAAATCTTATACATAGCAAGCAAGATGAAGCAAAAAGTATTAAACGACACCCAAATTCCCTGAAAACTAAACCCTTGGTTGCATAGTTTGCTATGTGTTCACATAGCAAAAAATGAGGAGGCACAAGTGAAATCTCACATTCTCCAAGAATACAATAGTACACGTAGCAAAAATGAGGAAGCAAAAGCAACCAAATAAAGCCTTAATTCGCCAACACATAAATTGTACACATAGTATGAAATAGTAAGCAGAAACGCAGACCGAATCTCCATCAGCAATGAATCACAGTAAAGAGCAACCTGTTCAACTGTAGCGCCAACAATTACTCGAGTTCTTTAACCCCATTACAGGGCAACGGAGCGGTAGCTTAACGGGCACGGAATAGCGTGGAGGGTAAACCTTTTAAAAACCGCCGGGGAAAGTATCGCAGGGCAAGCGATGCGCGTGATCGTCGGTCTGGTTGCGTTTCAACAATAATCCAGGCCACTGGTCTACCCGACCCGAATATCCATCGTTAAGAATGCAATAACCGGCTGGTTTACCCCGTCATAACAATGTCGCGTCGACGATGGCTCGCGGCAGCCGGAATTGAATCGACTCACAGAGGAGAGACGAGGGCAGAGGAGGTCCCAGGAGTCGTTCGTTTTACGCGTATGCAAATTTTCATGGCGCACGCTTTACGCCCGGGAAGAACACATCGTAGATAAAGGGTAAACGTAGCGAGGGATGGAGGCGGACCCATGCATATACCTTTTAATGCGTCGGAGCGGAAGCAGGAAGCTCGTTTTCGTCAGAATCGTGAGGGGGAGCTCTTTACATGCGCGAGTGGAAAGGCGTGGACGTTGCATTTTGGTTCGATGGAAAAAGCTAGAGAAACTGTCAGAGATAAACAAGAAGGAGGAGCATTATAATTGTTTTGTTCTTTAGATTAAGGCTACTTGGTGATTGGAGGATTTTGCTTTCCATTATTGGTCCAGGATATATGGGCCATACAGTAGTCATGTTTACGGGAAAATGAATGATAAATGATAAGTTATTAGAAAGGAAAAGGCAATTAAGTCTTTCTACTGGGTGTCAATGTAGGAGAAAATTTTAGGAGTGGTTAGAGTGCACAAGGGGTGGAAATAAGGATTCAAATAAATTGTACTTTAATGTCTTATTCAAGTTCTTTAGATACTTTTGATTCTTTTGATATTTTTGATTCCATACTGCAGTAGATCGTATCGGAACGAGTTCAATGAAGCATGATGACAGGATTAAATGTATGGCCTTGAGGTTTACAAAGAGTCTGATAGAAATTGAGAAACTTCGGGGAGCTCTAAGTGAGCTTAAAAGCCTTTTCCCTGAAATTTGTGTTCAGGAAATTCTTTCGAGGCATGCAATATGGTTTGCTGTGCACATAAAGTTGTTTTACCACTTAACCATTAAGTGCGTCGATAAGTAAACAACTATTTCTTGGTGGAATTAATACTCATTTCTGTAGAAGTCAAGAATCTATACTGTTTCATTTATATCAATGATTTTACAAGACTCAGCGTTGTTTTTAGTCGATAAAAAGTCGAGGACAGATGTTTGGTTCAAAATATATAGCTCTAGAATTGAAGAACAATGGTAGATTACTTGTTACTATACCTTATAGATTTCTTCCAGCGAGCGTAACTTTGAAAGGATTAATTAATTGTTCTTTCACCTACACGTACTGAACACATTTGTTCCACCTGATGCTAACGACATTCTAGCAATATCATCATTTTCTATAATCCTACCAGTAAAAAGCTTGCACATGTTGCGTCTAAGTGATTGATCCCCGCCACAGCAACTGTTAATATGTGGCTGAAATGCAGGAAACGTGACAAACTTTATAGAGCATTAAATTCAAATGGTTCCATTCGTCTCAAATGATCACTAAACGCAATGACGTAGCTTAAAGAGATACTGCCATAGTAAAAATAAGATCAAAGTCTATGAAACTGGCTTAAAAGAATCTTAAAATCGATTCAAACTTTTCACCTTAATCCTTCACAAGCTACATCCTCCAGACTGATAATAGCATAAATCTCACATTTTCACCGATAACTACTTCATTGATCCGTTGATACACCAAACACTTATCTCTATAGCCACGAAATCGTAAGGAAAATGAAGTGAACGAATTAAATCCGTGTTCCTTAAACAACCGTAGGCTTTGATTAAAGTCCGCGGTTGAGCACCCTGGCCACTGAATTACCGGCGATCTTCATCAGTTGCGAACTCCATAAGTTATCATTTCGAGTTCAGTAACTTGGACAGCAAATTCTAATCTCGAGCTCCGCCTCGGCCGATTCCGAACATAAGTCACGGGGTGAATCGATCCCGTTCGAAAACCATAAATATCGAAGACATTAGGAAGTAAGCCAAGTAATAATTTCATTTGTGTTCCAGGACTCTCGTTAGGCGGTGGTCTGATAGTCCTGGCGTCCGGTTTATCAGACGCGTCCTTAGAATTGCCTGCAAAATATAGTCTGCCCTCTACGTCCAGCATGCAGATGGATGACAATGGTCTGCCGGAGTACCAATACGGATGGTGCCTTCAATTGTCAGGATTGGCTTTGATCCTGGCAGAAGTCGCGGCTGTTTTAACGATGTCCGGATACATGGCACGCTTCTCGACCGTCGAAGAAATGGTATGATCCGAATGATAACAACGTAGGTAGCCGATCTACATCATATTTAGCTCCATTAGAAATCGTTTGTCCTCATATGTGACAGAATTCTTGAGAGTATAATTGTATGTCTAGGTTAGAGTTATGGTGCCAGGAGCTGAAAGGAAACTAAGAGAACAGAGAGGCTTCAGTTCGGAGTATCTCGTCAGAGCTCACCAAAAGTCACCTGGACCATCCCAAACTAGAAGCTTTGGACAAGCAACAAAAAGTAATCTAGACGTTTCATATCTCCACTTGAATGTCCAAGTGATTCTGTTACAACATCGAGTAATTAATAACCCATCTGTCTATCTTCCAGCGCCCCAGAGAGTCGTTGAAGAAGGCACATCCCTGTTATGCAAGGCTGCGCCTGATATCTGTTCCTCGAATCCTCAAGCTATCAGTTACGTCGACAAGGCAGATCTCTCACACGTTTTACCAGCGTATCCAGATTCGAAGAACGCAGACTCGGGATACACGTTTGTTTGCAAAGCAGAAGCCAACGTTATCGACTCACGGTTAAGCGGCTTCGCTGATAAAGAAGGTTTAATAGATTCGAGGATTCTGTCTGACTCCCGACAGAATATGATAGCTTTTACCGAAAGCAAAGAACACACAGTTGGCCAAGAGCCACGGTACACCGAATTCTCTCCAAGAACTATAGAGGAAAATGTGGTGGACTCGAGGTTAAGTGGCTTCAACGAGAAAGAGGGTCTCCTCGATTCACGACTCAGCGGTTACGGTGAGAAAACTGAATCTTTGTTAGACACTCCGTTCGGCTACGACACGCGATTCAATAGTTTAGCAGGCCAGACAGTGCCTATTACTTTAAAGAATCAAAACACGTCTGTCTCAGCAATCCAATCTCAGTATATTTACCAAAACTTTGGGACGATACACTCTGGAATTCTGAGGGTATCGGAACCGGGTACAAGTTCTAGTTCGAACTCGAGCCAAAGAAGCATGACACTGCAAAATCCGAAACGGAAATCGCAGATCGCTCAGAACACATTCAGCACGATGGAGTGCGAAAAGAGGAAACGGGGACCCGGCCTGGCAGGTAAAACAGGATTCTATGCAGGTAGCGCAGTATGACCACCACCTCCGCCTCCGACTCCTAGGTAACTGGAAGAGGAAGAAACGCCGCTCTAATTTTGAACGGAAAGTTCAAGCGGTGTGCGACCTGACACGTCGGAGGAAGGCACGTCAGTGCAAATCTAATAGCAAAAATCTGCTATACCAACTGCTGGAATACAGAATCCTGCTAAATTGACTACCAATAAAGTAGAGATTATTATACATGTGTTATCCTATGTGGATAACATATACCAACTACCGCTCATACAGTTTCCTGCAGTTTTTCTTTTACAAAATTTATGCAGAGAACTGAAGTTTCTACCGTGAATTAAGTGAGGATGCATCACTGGACAATCGCTTGCGAAGATTTTCAAACGAAATTGTAAATAAATTATTATTACCCTCGTTGATAATAAACTGTTACGTGTAAGATTACTGCGAAACGAATTGTTAACGTTACGAGATACTTCGAGCGGCGTGTCGCATAGTTATTCCGAGAATCGACATGTTAATCAATAAGATAAGGACAAAAGGAATCTTGTGGTAGCGTGCATAAATTAGGCTTAGCGTTAAGTGATATAGACAGCGTATCTTATGATAAATGGATTAAACTATAGGGTCGATTTTACCGGAGAATTTATACCTCGTACGTGTTAAGCCGTGATCTCCTTGTCCCTTTAAGAACTAACTCGGTCTTTCTTTGAATGTTGACACAGAAAAGGCGACAGTATTTGAATACTCTGGAGTACCAGTCATTTGATCTACTAAATTGTCTTTATTTAAGGACAATATAATTGGCACACTGGAAGGTCAGTACCTGACCAGTAGATCAACGGACACGAGAACTCGCGACTCTCGCTCTTAAATTTATCCTCAATTAATCACGTAACCGCGTTTCAGACGCATAACCAATCGAACGGATCTATAAGTCAAAGAGGAATAACTAATGTAGTCGTTATGCTGTAATATACTCGGTGGTCGGTATAGTCACGAATACTCAGTGGCGCGTAAACTCGTCTGACCATTTTCAGGAACGAAGGAAAGCCGTGACTGTACCAGCGAGAATTCGATCAGTCGTTTGACGAATCGTGTCAAAGATTTTACCATAGAAACGAACATCGACGTGAGCACAATAATGTCCGCCAGAAGAGGAAGGAATTGTATAGTACAAATTCATTTTTAACTGTACCGGTGTAATCTTCGTCATTTATCACGTGTTTTAACAGGTTCCCCATCAATCATGGTATCGTTTCCTTTCGAACACGACCGATCTATGGCAAAGTCTTTCAACGTTCGCCAATCTTGGACATATCAGGAAAAATGTTTTTAACCTAACCGCCACGGAATCGTCGCGACCTTTGACTCTCTTCCTCATTTGCATCCGCGTATTTTCTTGCCACACGATGCACCGCGATGGTGGAGAATAATAACTTCACGATCACGGTGCAACCGATACTGACGGAAACACTTCGCTATCGAACCGGATCGTACGTTGTTGTGTATGTAACTTTCCGAATTGCGTATTATTAACGTATAAAGATCATAGATGAATGTAATAAAACGTTTCTTTTCTAATTCACGTTATTCACTTCCCTCGCCTATTGGAAATAAAATTATGAGAGTTCCACCTTACTGTTTCATTTGAATATTATACTGCTGAATATAGCATATAATTCTTGCCTTAATTGTGAATCCTTAGTATTACTGAATATTTTTCCTGACTTTATTATATTAATAATGAAAGTGCTTGTCGAATTTTCTTTTATGACTTGAAATGTAGCAGTAATATTGTCAGACATTGCAGAAATAATTGAAGATTGAGTTACCTAAGGTGACACGAGAAACTTGTAAATGTTGATGTGGAAAGGTATATTTCTTTTGGTATCATTTACTTGTATAAAAGAGGAAAAAGAAAATAAATTGATTATCAAGAAAAATACAGAAGTTCAAATTAGTTCTATAAAATGAAAGAAGCATTCCGTACCTACTTTCACGCTTGAAGAAAATAAGCGGAAGCATTTTATAAACAAATAGGATGAGAAGACCTGCAATTTAGCATCAACTATAAAGTATTCTTAAAAATTGAGTTTCACTTTCTTTTTCGTAGCTCAATACAGTTAAAGTATGTCCCAAGTCATAGCCCAAATCATTAATGTTTTAATTGACAAAAGGATTTATATTCCATGTACACCAACCTAACCAAAATTATATTAAATCCTCCACCCAAGAGTTACCCATATAAAAACATCCAATATATACAAAATCTTAAACAATAACTTTGTATTCTTCACATGCAAGAAGTTAATTTCAACTTCAAACAATCTTCAACGGGAAAGAACAGACTATACTTCCTAGACTAACAATAAGAATAGGCCGCAAACAAATATTTCACAACTATAGAATAGAAAAATCAAGCCCACCTGAGTGCGAAATATGTGAATAACTTTAGTATATTCTACGTTGCTGTCCTTTGCTTGTAGTTCTGATAGTACAAGTCAATTTCACTAAAATATTTTATCAACTTTCACGTCCAAAATGTCACACCTGATCTTACATCGCACTTTAAATATTATAAGTCCTTCTTTACGAAGCTAATAATTCTACATAATTTATACTCTGTTGCTCCCTTACCAAATATTTATACTCGTCCGATTCCCACGATTCATTCTAAACAAAAAGTATTTCATAACTACTGCAGTGTCGTTAAAAAACATAAGGTAACATAATATTCCCAACAAAAAGTACAGATAAAAGAACTCTGATTTACCGAAGTTTTGTACACTGAACATTAGAACTACCAAAGGAGTCAAAATTACTTGGTTAGTAAGTACATTTTCACAATGATAATTAAAATGTTACAATCCATTTTCTCAGATCTTTCACAACTTTCATTCCAGTATAAAAATGAAGAAACTACTTAATTTGTAAATTTGAATAATTTCGAAAGTTTTTCATGCCCAGCAATCCGGTAGAAATCGACATACGTTTATCGTCGGTAGTTCTAATATAAAATATACTTTAATTCTTGTCCAACACAATTTTTAGTAAAGTCCAAGAACAGACCTAAAATTTCGTCGCGACACTTACGAGGGACACCTTATATATACAAAAAAAAAACAAAAGTTATCCTACCTCGTAATAAATTGTAACCAAGTAGACACAATTTCCCGACACCGAAGATTAAGTATTTACCAACATCTAGCAAGCTCCTCTTTCAGATGGCTCTGCCCGCAAGAACCTTTCGGCCGGCAAAACGGTACCCGAGCTTTCGCCAGATGGCGAGTCGGTCCTTAAGTCTCGCGTAGACTTCCGCCCTCTAATGTTTAATTAACGCCGCATAATCGCCCGACCAATTAGCCGACACCGTTTAATATTAATCTGCAATTTGAATTCATTTCGATGCGTTTAAAATTTATTGAATACATGATTAATGCCGCCGTGTTGCGAATCCGCGATACGAACGCGCGAATACACAGCCCCCAGCCCTTCCCGGCGGGCGGTTCGCGCGGGGTAACGCACAGGTGATTTATGCGGACAGTATACGGACGAAAGTTCACGTTCGAACCAAAAAAAAAAAAAAAGAAAAAAAAAATCCCACGGATATGGTTGACCGTTCCTGGAAAATATTGTAGCAGTCCGAAAGGATCCGGTTGTCCGCCGTATTCCGTCGCGCCGTTTCCAATCCGTACGAGTGCAACGCTCCTAAACCTCCTCTTAATTAATGGATTTAGCCTATTTCCACTGTTCCACGTCCGATAAATGTGATTTACAGCGCCCGTAGATGGCCACGTTTCTTTCGGGGAAAATAGCAGTAACGCAATTGAGTTATTTATCGCTCACGAAATAAATTGACGCGTGACTGACGATGACGCCACTTTCTTGCGCTCCTGGAATTTTATCGTGCGAAATATCGAATGTTAATTTCGCTTTTTGAGAATGTTGTTATGCGTGGAAGGTTTTAGGGGAGCATCCATTCTAATCTTTTTGAATTGTGAATACAGTAAATCCTCAATGAATGTTCGAAGGCTCGTCGGCACTCACAAAGAGAGGTCACCAGGTGTAACGCTGACTTTTTAATTAAGTTTAGCACAGTGATAAAGCTTGGGATTCTGAAGGCAGTGATATGTGTTTCAGCCGCATATGATCATTAATTTATAAAATATTTAATCTTCAGTTCGAGAACCCTTCGAACATGTATGTATTATTTTTAAGGATATTTTTATGTCAGTGTAATAACCTAGTGGACAATCTTGGAAGCTCTAGCGTTTCAGTGCTTTCAATTGAGAGTATGCGTCACACTATTTCCATAACGGTAACGAAATGTAACGTTCAGTTGGTTATTAATAGACTGCGGATTTTATGCATTTATCATAAATGTAAATCGATGAAAGAAAACTGAAAATTTTCAGAGAGGGATTTTTTGTTTTCAGCCTAACGAAACTTTTAATACGGGGAACAAATCTCTGGCATTATTTCAAGTCAGTAAATTATTCTATAAAAATCTGAATTTACATAAAAAGAAGTGTGGAGAAGCAGTCTTAATCGAATTGTTCATCTCTGAGATGAATTGCTTGTAGTTAATCATTTAACTATGGGTGTAACTGGTAGTGCAACCGGGTAGAGTGTGTTTCTACTTAAAAAAATAAGTTGAAAATAAACTATAAAACTTTTCACTTGCTGGCAAATGAATAAGACTCGTTTGGCGTGTCTGTTCATTGCATTCCGTTTCTACTTAATACCATGACGAATGTGTACACGCGTTTCAGATTAATTTTCGAAGCTGATTTTCCCGAAAACGAAGAGTGAAATGAAAAAATTATATCCTATATATTTTCAACTTATTTATTCACGTAGAATCGCTTTCCACGGTTGTAGCACCAATTCCATGGCACAATTATTAATGAAATCTATTGAATTGTGATCCAATTTTCATGAAAGTGATCATCCTAACGCAAAAAAATAGGTCTATAAATAATATTAATAAATGTGATGTAATAATTAATATAAAATAATATAGAAATTAA